CGCGCCTAACGTTTACTTCCTGAAAGTCGTACGGTTGTTTCGCTACTGGTTTTCTTCATTCTGAATGGTGAGAGTGAAGTGGTAGGGTAAAAGAGCTGATATCGTTATGACCCAGTAAGTGGTAATTCGCCCAATCACGTCCTCTTGGCCTTGTGCTCGTTCAAGTTCGTCTCCGCATACCTCTTATCAAGGGCATTTCGGGAGGTTGTTTCTTCTTTTTTTCATCACTATTAGGTTAAATTCCACTCTGTCATAATTATCCAGGCCTCACTTCATACCATTTTCAATCGCAGCACGTGCTTTTGAGAGATTTGAGATGAATAAATTGGAAGTGCAGATGCTATTCTAAAGTAACACGTTCTAGTCATGAATGCAAGGTGAATTTCAGGACTTTCCCGAGGATATCCAAGATATTGATCGTAACGAACGTGGTGAGGAGGATGAAAAATCGGGTGAAGAAAGCGAGGAGGAGCCGGAGCCGGAGGATCAAATGGGAGATGTGAGCATCAGATGTTATCTTGAATGCTAAAGGCGCTTTTTCCTAATTGCGATTCCAGTCGTTCGATTTCTACTCGTTGTTAGGAAAGTTTCTTCTAGGTTGACGAAGCAGACGATCAACAGCTGGATCCGAAACTTTGGGATGATGAAGAGAAGAACCCTTCCCCGAAAGAAATGGATCAGGATGATGCAGGTTTGTTGACCGCTGTGTTATTCGCCCGCGATAGTTTGTAAGTACCGTACCCTGCTTTTAGGTGCTGACAACAAAACTAATGAACTGGCTGCAAAAGAAGATGACACAGTGGCCGCAGACGAGAAGTCGGCTGAAAATGAAAAAGAGGAGGAGTTGAATGAGCAAGAAGCGGATGACGTGGAAAATGTCGATGAAAGGGAACGGGACGATGTGGAAATGGAAACTGGAAAGGAGGACCCGTGAGTTTTCAAGGGTTTCATGGAACTGCGAATAGTGTTTCTGGGAATTTCACCAGAACCATGAGGAACAGCAAGCACATTTTCTACGAAATTCATCACCTAGTGAAATATGCTTTTGAAATTTTTCACGGAGCCTTGTGTTTCTCCCATAAGGTCTCGATGTAAGGCAGCTGGGAACGCTCAATGGAATTCTGATTCTACCACGAAGGGCTCAATACCTTGTTTCTAGGTCGCTACCTCTTGAGGATGAAGCCGAGAACAACCAAGAAGACCAAAACATGGAAGGGGTGGAGAATGATTCGACAGATGACGAACAAGGGAATGAAACGGAAGATGGTCCGGGAGAAGAAGAAAAGGATGGGAATGAGGATGTGAGCTAATTTCCGATTCGTCAATGTCTATAAGGACAATCCGATGAGAGAAGTGCAATGCCTCCATGTATGTAACCCTCGCTCGTTACAGGAGATTATGGAGGAAGCAGATCAGACGAAAAATCCACCGAATGACGAGGAATCGTCAAATGAAATGGACAGCGTGGAAGCAGTTGATCAGGGAAAAGGTGGAGAGCAAACAAATGAAGAACAAAAAGAGCAGGTCGGAGGAGCAAATGAGGATGAAAATAAGGAAAATGAAGATGAGGGAAAAGGAGAAAGGTAAGGAAGACAAAAGTCCCAGTGAACTCTTTTGATTTATCCCTCTCACTTTTAGCAAAAGCGATGACCGTGGTGAAGATGGCAAAGGCTCCACGGCTGTAAAGGAGAAGGATGAGAAGGAGAACGAGGAAAATCAGCCAGATTCTGCTGAAGACGAGGAGACCTCTGAGAGGCAAAGAGAGCTGGCACAGGAGAGCAACGAAGTTGAGGATAAAGAGGAGGGCGAAGGTGAGCAGGACGAAACAGCTACGCAGATGAAAGATGCTCCTGCCGCGGAACGACAGGTGAGTACCAATATTTCAACTTTTGCTCTGGCAGTTAGCGAACCGTGTGTTACTCCCACCTGACAAGCTTTTAAATTGGCTTTAAAGGCCGTTTTCTTCTTGGCACTCATCCTTGTTCTTTAACACTTGGGCACACCTTGTCAACAACTTTCTGACGTAACTAGGTCCGCGCTAAAGGTCTCTTTTGCTTGCAGTCAAAGGTAGCGGGCATGATGGAGGGCGGGCGGTTGTCGCCAACGTTAGTGGTGGAATGGCTAAAAGGGTTGATCGAACGCCCTCTCGCGGCCCTTCCACCAATGGCGCTGGCAGCAACCGCACATCTTCCATCCATCGTGCCCACTCCTATAGGCGACGCCAGTTAGGATTCCGCTGTACGTGGCCACTACATTTTGAGAGTAGCGCCTTAAATTGGTTGTTCATTCAACTCATAGGCTGCTTTTGGGAAAACGTTATGATTTTGCATACAGATGGTTGGAGCAGGATCGCTCGAGGAAGCCAAACAATCGAAAAAGGACGACGCAGTGGAGAGGCCTAAAAAGCACAAGAAGCCTTCAGGAGATGTAGAGAGTGCAGACGCCGCTCCCGAGAATGACGACACAGCTCTTGAAGAGCATCAAGCAGCCATTCACCTAGCTCCTGAGCAAATGTTCAACTTGGTAGTGTATCTGTTTTACAAATCACTTCATAAACAGTCTTTATTAATGTGACATCTACCAGGTGGAAGAGCTGACGAAAGAGCTGACAGTAAGTAGTACAGCTGAGGAAGAGCCAGCGTCTGAGTCTGTGAAGCGAGCCGATTCCGACAAGAGAGATTTGGTAGAAGCAGAGCAGATGTGGACAGCTATGAGCCAGACAGTGGGGATTCTGGCAGCTGAGCTGGCGGAGAATCTTCGTCTGATACTAGAGCCCCAACGAGCGAGTAAAATGCAGTAAGTTTTGCTGTTATTTATGGACTGTTCCAATCAGAGCTGCACTCATCACATTAATGTCATTGCAGAGGTGATTACCGCACAGGAAAACGACTAAATATGCGTAGACTAATTCCCTATATTGCCAGTGAATATAGAAAAGATCGTATATGGATGCGAAGAACCAAAAAAGCGCAACGAGATTATCAGGTAACCAGTTCTGTCTCATAGCTGTTGGAACCCAGTGCTAAATGATCCGTTCGCTGTGCTTGACACCTTTCACATTCAGGTTCTCATTGCAGTAGACGACTCGGCTAGCATGAACGAAAATGGCATCCATCAGGTACTATTCACATTAATCTGCTCTTATTAATGAGGAATGTGTGCGCGCAGTAGTTTGCTCGCCGCTGTTGGGCCCGGGGGGGGGGGCTTTTCACTTTTGGCAGTCTCTTTTGCTAGTTTTTGTTAAAGCACACGTTTCAGCTTGGTGAGACTTTTGTCAGCTGTGAACCAAGCTCTTGCTGTCTTAAGTTATTGACAGGTCTTCACAGGGCGGTATGTGGCAAGAGAATCGTAATTTACCGCGCTGGTGGGCGTCGCGTGCGACGTCGCGCCCGCAAATGACGATGGTTCCAGGTAGTAGATGGCGACAACAGGCAATTCAGAACCGAAAATAGTCATGAATGTCTACGATGACGGGGTCTACATGAAGTCCGGTGCTCCAATCGACAGGTTAACACGAGTTAAGAAAACGCGCATTGCCGCGCCGCTAAGCGCCGCGCGTGCGGTGGCGGCGAAGTTGCGAGCGCTCTCTTTAGTGCACACGCTGAGGTGTACGTGCTCAATAGCGAAGAGAGCGCGACGCCGAATGTTTTCATTCAGCTGGTTCAGCTGTTTTCCCTTATCACCTGTCGAACGTGGAGAGAAGCAGGGCGCGGAACAGGAACCGCAATATTAGGCAACCACTAGAAATGAAGCTGGCGTTTGTGGGTGGCCAGGTGGGCGGGGTGGTCGCTTCGACGAGGAGGACGGCGCTATGGCTCTCGACTTTTTGAGATGCGAGCGTCACGTCCTCCTAGGTGACTACTGATTACAAGTAGGGCATGAAACTTAAATGAACGTGGTGCTGCTTTTAAGAAGCCTTATGGATGGCACGTCAACTCCAAAACAGTCTGTGAAACCTGCGCGTCGAGTCACCTCATGGGCAGCTAGCCTGGAGGACGCGGTACTCTCGATCTGGCGGACCTTCAGACATCGCGCAGGCTCCAAGAACTCTCACACGTTCAGATATCATATTCTCATGGCGTCGCCAAGGCGGCGGGTTTGATGGGATGGGTGGGAAGTTCCCGGGAGCGGAAGACGCGATACTACTTCGAGGACCACGTGAAGGTGAATGCATATATATAAACAGGCTGGTGAGATATGCTGTGCGAAATGTGTTGCCTGTAGACGTTGAAAAAATTGTAGCCGTCACAGGAATAATGGGTGCAGCAATGGAACCGGGAAAAACTTCCGCAATTGGAATCAAAGGGGTTGAGTACTGAAGAAGACGGATTATCCAATTTGTGCCAACGCACTAAATCGTCGATTCGCGGGTCCTCGAAATTAGCTCTCAACAGGGTGGTCTAGAGGAAGGTGGGGGGGGAGAGACAACGACGCTCATGACGTCCGGATACGAATCACGTGATCACGCTGCATGAATCTCGGTCGAGGCTTCGTGCGCGTGTGGGGCGTTTTGCGCAATCGGTGGCTAACAATGGGTTACTCCCATTGCGAAATCCGGGCGGTGTCAATCGGCCTCCGTCTCATAGTTTCTTTCTTGCTTTTTCGTGCGAAGAAAAAGTTGTTTTTTCCTCCTCCCGTCACTCCCCCCTCCACCCGTATATCGCAATTCTAGTCCTTCCATTCGGGGCACGTGGTTGATCGCTGTTCTCGAGAAGCAGTTCTGCAGTAGTTCAATCTCGTTAGGTTTTTTCGGTTCGTGAATCTTCTGTCAAGTCCGGGTGTCGTTTAAATAGGCCATGTGGCGGTTACGGCATTGACAGTGAGGTAACGCATTGAGACACATTGATCCAGCAGGACAAATGGATTAACGTTAGGGCGTCATGAATTCATCGGAAAGAAAGGGTTTAAAGGGCGTAAGTTTGGGCACAGCCAGAAGGCGCTTTCAAACTTCTTGTCTTCGCCCACACCCCGCGGTTAAATATAAGGAAATAGAGATAGATCATAATGGAAGACTTGGCTGCGCCTCTCCTTTATTGTACACGTCCAGCCCCCCAATATACCGCTCCGCCACACGCTCTTGTCATTTTTCTAGATCACTACGTAAGTCGCAGTTAGCAGGTTAATGCTAGCTAATTTCATATGGATCGTAAGGGTAGGAATGAAAAGGATAGTGGTCTGCACGGCAGAAAGGAAATATCCTAGAGAACGATCCCCCCAGTGAGTCCCCGTACATCCACAATAATGTTCCCTGTTTGGACTGCATCACGGTCCAATGCGGTTTTGGTGGTTCAGTGGTAGAGTTGTGGCAACAGTTCTAACTTCTAATCTTTATCTACACAAATAATAATACGACAGTAGTCACTAACAGCGATTAACAAGAGGATAATAGTATAATTGGTATAAAGATCTTGGACTGTTACGTGAGAGCCCGTTTCGTAGCGTAGTGTGGCTATATTGATTACAGTAGTGTTGATCGATTAGATCTCGCGTGCGCGCGGGTCGCGTCCTGTAGTGTCCCCGACATGCGAGTTTAAACTTGTGCGAGATAGAAGGTGGAGGTGAGAAGTAGTATTGTGTCAGAGAGGAGAGAGAGCTTAAGAGAGAAGACCCGCCGCTCGCGGAAGACGAAGTGTAGAACTGAAGCCTAGCTCCCCTCTGGCACCGGTATTTTTGGTCGAAAAGGGCGGCTTTACGGCCAAACCGTTCTGGCGTAGTCCGCCACAGGGCGGGCCCGGCACCTGAGAGCCATGATAGCATGAGAGACGCAGCACCCAACGGTGCTAAGGGTGCCTCCTCGATATCATTCGACGGAGGGGTCATGGACACTTTGCCGACAATATCGACAAACAGTCATAATAAATGTTACGTAATTTTGGCCTTTGGTCCTTCCCGCCGGCGAATAAGAAAGTGAGTAGTATCAGCGTGTAATGTGGAGTTAAGGAAACGTGGGTGCAAGGTACAGCAAGCGCAGGAAAAAGTACAACAACGCGAAAGAGAATGCACATGAATAGGAAGTTGGAACTAAAATGAAACAAATTGAGGATATATAGAATCTACGGATACTATTATACCATACAGATGTTATGGATATGGAAGGAGAGCTAATATAATTCATCAATAAACGAAATGATTAAAGAACTGTAAAGATGTGCCTGTTTTGGGTGAGGATCGGGGCTGCGTCGTGGTGGATGTCGTTGGAAGTCGTGAGGTTGAATGACCGCTAGTTTGAGGTGATATTGGTAGAAGTTGTTATCATGGCGAGTCGAGCATTCGATGTATGCTATGGGATGGTTGTTTGTAAAAAGAGAGGTCTGTGTCGTAGGCAGTGTATGGTATTGTTTGTGTAAGTAGTAGGGAAGAGCTTGCAGAGAGCGAAAAGGAATAAGTATATGAATGATAGTAAGGAGAGGATACGCGTCAGGTAAACTGTGGATAAGACAGTGTGATGCGGAGTGTGGTATAATTATGATAGTATTCGAAGGTTTGAGGTAAAAATAATTGTGCAGCTTAGTTGTTTTGTGATCTCTTGTGAGAAAATAGCGTTGTGCTGTCAATCATGAGGACACTTATAGGTATAAGTAGTGTATCATGTGAAATAAGAACTGTTTAGCATAAAAGACAATGTGATATTCCGGATTGCGGAATGTCAAAATTTAAGGATGTGTTCTGTTTCCGTTTGAACAATAGTGGCTAAGTTAGCTATGAGATCATCCATAGTCCATTGTGTGCCGTTATCGAATTCCTTGCTAGCGATCTCTTCTTGGATGTTCTTAGGGAATGTCTCAATTACCATTGTTGTCATATAGGTTGAGTCGACCACTTCCCCTTGTTTCTGCATAGTGGCTATGATGGCTTGTATATCGCTTAAGTTGTTTCGTAATGTGCGTGGGTCATCATGGCAGGCTTTCATGGACTTCAATTCTCGTATCAGCTGTATAGTAATGCGTTTGGGGTCTTCGTATTGACTTTTCAGTTGTTGCACTGCCTTTTCATATGAATCTCCTGTCCGGGGAATCATTCTTAGTGATCTTGCTGCGTCTCCTTTGCAACAGCTGAGTAGTATAGAAAGCTTACCGATATTGGAATAGGGTTGTTTATGGACCAGTTCTTCAAAGAGTTCCCAGAAAGGACCGAATTCCGTAGGGTTACCATGGAATTCAGGGACCTTTAGTTTGCTCAGTAGTCGTTGTTCAATTGTTAGTGAGTTGAGTGGGTGCAGAAGTGAATCCTGTGCATGTACCTGCGGCGGAAGTGTATTTATGTTGCAGTCTGTGATTGTTTCACTGTGTGAAACCGTAACAGCAATCTCTTGACATTCTAGTTCGGTGAATCTCTTATCAAGTTGGTGTAGTATGTTTGATGTAAACGACAATATCTGCTCCCCTTTGCGGTCTTCCCAATATTTGTCAAATTCTTGTTCGCTTGTAGGGTCTTCTGTTGCGATAGCTTTAAGGCATTGCTCATAGTATGTTATGATTTTATTGGCCTTTTCTTCAAGTTGTTGTTTAAGTTTTGTTACTTTTAGTTTATTAGTACTGATGTAGATCTTAAGATCAGTAAGTTCGGTGGGATAGTTCCATGGGGAGCGAAAGTCGTCAACGTCTTTCAGTAGTGTTTCAAGTGTAGTAAGCTGTCTAGATAGGCTGATCGTAGCCGACTTGATATTGAAGGGAGCAACGGGTGGTGACATAAGAGCGGTGACGGAGTGAGAGCCACTTGATGGAAGTGAGGAACTGGCCGACCCTCCGTCCTTATATACTGGAGAGAGTGGGCGGAGCAGGGCGAAGTTTTATTTTTATTATTTTTTTGGGTGTATCGTCACGTAGTCTAGGCCTATGAAGAAATAAAATGTCGTTGTTCAGCGAACGTTTAATATATGGTTTAATAGTGTTCAAAATTTTAGTATAAATCGTTACTGTAGATATCGAAACATTTGGTTTAAAAGCAAGGTTGGAATTAGTTGTGGTCTTGAGTTGCAGTATGAAGGGAGTTAATTGATGCTTGGAGAGTCCATTCTGTTATGTCGTTGCGGGTTGTACGGTAGAAGAAATGGGTTTGGCTATATAGCTAGTAGAGGGTTGGTAGGTGTGCGATTGTTGCGGGATTTGTTCATAGTTAAAATTAGTATATGGTGTGAAATGTATTGTT